TCTACATGTGAAAAGCTAGAAAGGCTCAACTGAAATAAATAAGAACAGCGTACATTCTGCAACTTGAGTGAAGGAATTCGGAACATAATTAGGCTGTACTCTTACCATCATCACACATCTAAAAATGGTAGCTGAATTAACCAAATGGAACCATGTTCCTATTTCGTTCCTTTTGCCCTGCCAGTACAGTATGCTGCACAGCTGCCACCAAGAATGGTCCTGGACGATTATCAGTGCACTAGTGCCACAAACGTGGACACTGGAGCTGGCATAGGGTGTTTATCAATATGTCCGCGACGTTCTATTGAAGATGATATGGCTAATGTTCCACACATATTGAGTACGAATTAAAGGCCGTACATAATAATAACAGTAATAATAATACGTAGAAAAAAGTGTCCGTATCTAAAGGATAGTTGGTGGTAGTAAATCAAATATTTGATAAACAAGGCAATTGCCGGCCACAACGTCCTCTTCGACATGGTGAAGTGGTGTGTTGTGCAGTCGGGATTGTTCCGGGACTGTGATGTGCAGTCGGGATTGTTTCGGGGCTGTGATGTGCAGTCGGTATTGTTCCGGGGCTGTGATGTGCAGTCGGGATTGTTCCTGGGCTGTGATGTGCAGTCGGGATTGTTCCGGGGCCGTGATGCGCGGTCGGGATTGTTCCGGGGCTGTCATGTGCAGTCGGGATTGTTCCGGGGCTATCTCAACGATCGTAAGCGGACAGCGACCGGCGGCTCCTCTGATGACAGCCCATTGACCCACGGAGTGGAGGGAGAGAGAGAGAGAGAGAGCCCCACGAAACACAGGGATCCATTCTTGGACCGATCCCTTCCTTCGCTGCATCAGCGAACTATCCCGTTTCCACACCCATGGGCGGCTCTTTTCCTATGCTGACGACACCTGACTTCTTGACCACTTCCAACCGACAGTTACCGGTCTATCTGAACTCAGAAGGCGAGTCGAGGAGTCGATTTTTTATCTGCAATTATAGTTTCAGGCTAAAAGTCTCAAGATGACTCCAAACAGGCAGCACCATGTCATATTCAAAATTGGACTAAGATATGTAACACACACACGCACACACACACACACACACACACACATACATATATATATATATATATATATATATATATGCAAGTAAAACACAAAACGCATGTACCGTCAAGATTAAAAATTTTGCTAGCTCTAAAAAATCGACCAATATCTGGCGTACAACTCGCATATATCCCTAGCGGTCCGTCGGTGTACCCTCATCCCATCATCCCTCCACTACATCCGACGTCCAGAACTCCTAGTCCACCCCATGTTTTCCCACACATCCATTATTGTCTTTCAGTCTGGGGAGGAGTCATCAAGTGTCAGCTTCAGCTTGCGAAAAAATAACCACAAAAAAAACTGAACTTTTCAGCCAAACTAGTGCTTGGGTCGGCGCTCGAAACGCATCTCGCCAGCGCTACAAGCGCGTGGCTGGATAAAGGTGGAGGAGATGATGCTCCACCACGACTGTGCATAGGTGCAGAAAGACCCGTACCGCAACCAGCGCCCGCCAGCTATATCGAAGACATTTGTTCGTCGCGCCTCTGTATCGTCTCGCGACAACCAGGCCGCGGCGGCAGGGACGCAGCAGCTCCCATGATGTCAACTGGCCAAACCCCGGCGATAATTTGCGTACAGAGCAGCAGCATCCTGGAACACTAAGGTGTGCGGAGCCGGCGACAGGCGACGGCGAGGTGTGATGTGGCTGCACTGCGCTGCGACGTGGCGTCGCATGAGGTGGTTTAGTTGTGGTGTGTATGTTCATAGGGAGCGTTTTGGATGGCATCTGTGTTTTGTCTTTGTTGTTTTATTCCATGATACTTTCTCTTGTGTTTAAAAGCGTTGTATAAGCATATTGACCAAATTCGTAGTGGCCATCGCGTGGGAGGATTCTAATAAATGACTGACTATAGTCAGAGAATAACATCATCCACACCCAATGCTTAAACAGCTAGCCAAAAACAGCAGGCATAGGTCAGCATCACGCTAACATTTCTATCGGAGGTTACCATTGGATCTAAATATTCACCAACCGTAGCGTCCAGGCAGCCAACCATTTAAAGTTTTGCGATGCTGGCAGAACAGCATAATGATGCTATGAATGCCTACATTCATGGTGCAGAGTGTTTGATGTCCTTATTCATTTCAGCTGAACTTCTCCAGCTTTTTGCTTGCAGAGTTGCACGCTAGCAACAGTATGCATTGATCATTGAGCTGCATCTATTTACTGATTGAAGGTCATCAGCTGGTTAATGTTTATGTGAAATGGCAACCATGATTGCTGCTTTCGGCCAGCTGTTTTGGCGTGGAGTGCGTATGTTGTTTTATTATTACGCAATAGTTAGGAGAAAGCAGTCATTTCATCTTAAGCAGGAGACAGGAGTTCCAGTCTACACATCTGTGGTTTAAGTGCAATGATAAACATCCAGCACGATTTTTCGTACGAACCGCGTGGCATACCGTACCGGCAAAGCAAAAGGACAACATAGGAAAATACATATATTTGCTCAATTATGCAACCATTTTTAGGTGTGCGATGATGGCAAGAGTAAAGCATAATGATTTTTTGGGTTCCTGCACCATGTTGCAGACTGTTTGCTGTTCTTGTTTACTTGAGCTGGACCTCTCCAGCTTTTCACATGCAGAGTCCTACAAAACACAAGGTAGAAGAAACACTGAGCATTTTATTTGTTCCACCAACACATGAGACATGACATTGTGTTCATTTACTGCTTGCAGGTCATGAATTATTGATGTTGATGTTGAGTGACAACACCCGGCTCCTTTTTTGACCAGCTGTTTAAACGTTAAGTGCGCATGCCCTTCAATTAAATTTGATTGGTTATTATGGGAAACCTGCTACACTGGTAAACGTCCTACACAATTTTCAGACTTTGCCTTTTGCTGACATAGGAATGGGCCAAATAAAGATAGAGCAATGTAATTAGCTAATGGTTGGTAGTAGGTGCGTGAATACACCTCTGCACTATCATGTTAATGTTTTACCAATCAGTATTCCGTAGGCACCAACAGTGTTTGTTGTGCTAATTCTCTCATAAGTTAAATCAATCTGCAAATGTTTGACAACTTTTTCGAGTGCTAACGCCTGGATTAGAACAAAAAAGGCAAGTGACTGCAATATGCAGCAGCTTTTAAAAGGGCAGGGTGGCAACTACAACAGCTACTGCATTTTATGCATAACGGTGGCAACTGTTTTTGTCGGATAACCGTGGCTGTGGTGGTTACAAACATGATCAGCGACAGTGGTATTTATCAATGATCTCTTACCGGGATTGGTTCAGATTCTGCAAATTACACCCCAGTTTAGCCTTTTCATTAACAGGCAGCTCACATTCAGTTGAAATGGAAAGTTCGCGGAAAAACAATCTTGGGTGTAATTTTTCATTTTCAACTTCGCGAATGCCAATTAAAGCGGATGAAATCCGGAAAGAAATCAGATTTGGGGAAGGTTAGGTCACCCTTTCCGGCTTACCTTTCCCCGAACCTGATCTCTTTCCGGATAAGATCCACTTTGTCTCTCCCAATATTCGATTTTAGAGAATGACACCCTTGCCTATATTTGCGATTTACATACGGGCTGCAAAATCAACTGATCATCAAAAAGGACTCTGAACTTCACAACGGTGAATGACGTCTTTCGTGCGCTAGCATTGTCTAAGGCCTTCGAAATATGCAGTGGCTGTCGGAATGGCATATGGGATACTAAAAAAAAAAAATGGCCAGTGCTTGTCTGAAATGCCACACCGTAGTTTGGAGAAGAAAATAAATGAAATTAATTCGCGCATAATTTCCTGTTGGTAAAGCAGCTTCGCCCTCAGTGCAATCTATATTGATTGATACCGCACGATCCACTTTTCAATTGTCTACAAATATGCAAAATTTGGCTCGGCTACAGTGCGCCGTTCGGAAACCATTCCGGAAAAACCCTTGGAGGGGGTAAATTGGACCCCCACCCAAGCGTGTGTTGAATGGGTACCAGTCACCTTTTGCTTAGAACATGCATCTCATTTCACAGTGACTGCATGAGAAAGTACGGAGGCCTTTTGAAAACCAATCCGAAGTTTGATCTTATTTAACTTCATTTAACCCGAAGGTCATGACCTAAGAGCATCCGATTTTTACACAAGTCAGCCCATGCACACCCTCTAACTTATGTCAAAAGTTCAATTCTGTGATTTTATTCATGTTTCGCGAACACAATCGGTGCGTTGTGCACTTTCCCTGCTCTGTCCGCCGTTTTGTGACCCAACGGATAATATGTAGGCATGGCTTATGCTAAATAGGTTTTATTTGGTTCTGGGAAATCATTTTCGATCCACCATCAGCGAAAATGACCTTAACACGGAAAAAGCCTTAAAGCGCGAGGGGAAAGTAATCAAGACATGACGTATAAATATCGCAATCGAAACAAATGCCAGATACCTATTTTGGAACCGCACGGTTCTCAGACCATGAAAGGGAATTACAATTGAAAATGGAGTTGCGAGACCATGACTCCAAGTCTCGTGGATTGCTTCGTCACGTGGTGAGCGCGGGACCGGACCTTTGCAGTTGCCTAGCTCGTCGTCGCTTGCAGTCGATAAGGCCCGGCTGTGAGTCACGATCACGCGACGGCGATCCTGACGTGTATTGCGCAGCAGCGCGGTTCGCCCATTTGCAATTGCACAGTTGCCAATTTCGTCGAACGAAGGCTATCCTGTGATGGAGACTCGGTCACAGGACCGCCGCTCGACCGACGCGTATTTCTTGTTGGCAGCAATTAAGCGCCGTTACTGCCGCTGGCGAGTGTCGACGACACGGTGCTGGAGGCTCGGCCCGCTTCTGTCGGTTGAAACAGCCGACGCCATGCGGCGCCACCGCTGCCGGGAATCCCCTCACTTACCCGCGCCCGGCCGCCTCGCCCCATGCGCCCACCGGCCCGGTCAGCCGCCCGGCGTCGCGCGACGGGCGTGGTCGAGAGCGAGTGGGGTGGCCGCAGTTGCTGTCGTGTCGGCGAGGACTCCATTTGAGCGTCACCGTGTCCGTGTCGTGCGCTGCCGTCGGTCTACGCCGCTGGCCGTCTCGCGTCGCTGTGCTGAGCCGGTTGCGTGCTGTTCGGAGCTCCGACAGCATGCCGCCACTTTTCATTTGGCTGCTCCTGTGCGGGGCGCTGCGCCCGGCGGTCGCTGGAGATCTCCTCGACGTTCGCAGCATTGGGAACAATGGAATCTGGCTCAATGTCAGTATCAACGACAACATCACATTGGGAGAGGTCATAAAGGAGAAAACTAATGCCCGCAACATGTGTGTGTTTGCGATGAGGCTCAACTACACAAAGGAAACGCAGGCGATCAAGGTCAAGTTCACAGGCAACAATGGCAAGCCGTCTCCTTCCACTGAGGCGCCTCTGGTGATCAGCGTGAGGAACTGGGCTGGTGGTCACACTTTCACCGTGCCTTACAACGTGTTTGGTAAGGACGGACGCGTGATGGCAACCGAAGTACAGGCCACCCGTTTTCTTTGCCCGGGCGACATCGGCAGCGAGGACCACGTCGTCACCAGCGTGGGCACCAACTACCTGGACCCATCCAAACCCGCGGAAGGCTACATGTTCAACGTGGAGTTTAAGCAGGTGGGCCACTGGACGCTGGACTTGGCGGCTCCAGAACAGCTGGAGGCGGACCCGACCGAGCCGGCCGTCTTCTCGTTCCGCTGGCCGCCCGGCGCCGGTCTGGAGAGCGTGTTGATCAGTGTGCGCAGCGTCAACGCAGCATCGCTGTGTGTGACGGTGGCGGTGCAGCCGCGTGCCTGCCCGCTCGCGCTCACGCCTTCCGAGTTGACCGTCGACGCCCTCTACTTCACGGCCACGGCGTCCGGCGCGTTGGTGGTGCACCGTGACCAGTTCCCCGCCGGCTTCTACGTCATTGTCCTGCCACGTGAGAATGACCGGCTGTGCGATCCGGCCGCCACGCCCGCTGCGACCAAGACCAGCCGCAAGAAGACGGTAATGGTCACGGTGACGGCACAGCACGAGACGCCAGCCTCCTACGCCGCGCCGGCCGCGCTCGCGCTGCTGCTGCTGCTGGCCGGCGCGGTCGGCACGCGCCTACTGCGCTTCGACTTGTACGCGCCGCGACTCGATATCGAGCGGCAGCCCAGCCCGGAGCACCGCCCGGAGCGACGTGACTCGCTGACTGCCTCGGAGGACCTGCTCCTGAACGAGGCCGAAGAGGAGCCGCAGCCATGGGCAGCGGCTGCGGCTGCGGCCGGCCTCAGCGCGCCCAGTCTGCTGGTCGGAGCCGCGCTGCTGCTGCTGGCACTGGGCGGCGCCGCCGTGTTAACGGCGCTTCGGAGCGAGCGTGACACCGGAGACCTGGACCTCTGCTACCGCAATGACCTATGCCACCAGCCGGCCGGCGGCGTGCCAGGCATGAACCACTTGGTCGCCCGGTTGCCGTACGTCGGCGCCGGGCTCGGCCTGCTGGTGGCCGTGGCCGCGCAGAAGCGGGTCTACCGCCGCGTGACGGCCGACGGCACCGTGCGCGTGGGCGTGGAGCACGATCTCGGCCTGCTGGACAGCGTCGGGCTGGCGCTGGTGCTGCAGGGGGCGTTGAGCGCGCTGCACACCACCTGTCCCAGCGGGCCCGCCGGCCACCTGGACGTGGTGTTCATCTACTTCGCCCTGGTTGCGATGGCCTCCAAGCTGTTCCAGACGCGTCGCGGGCGCAGCGCCACTGGTCACTACGCGCCGCTGATGCTGACCGCGGCGCTCGTGGCCGCAGGGCTCGCCAAGAGGCTGGCTGGCAACGCTTGGTACGTCTGGCTGGTGGTGGCCGTGGTGCACGTGGCAGTGGTCGCCGTCATCGCCACACATCTGTACGTGCTAGGTGACGCCTCGGTGCGATTCGGCTCGCTGAAGCGACTCGGGGAGCAGTCCTACCTGCTCGCGGAGTCGCCCCACTTCCGCATGAACCGCGCCACCTTCGCCACAGCGCTCATCTTGAACGTGGCTCTGGCGGTCGCAGGTGCGACTGCACGCATTGACAATTTCACCCACTACGTCATGCTATTCTTCGCGCTGCACACGGGCCTGTATTTGGCCTACTACCTGCTGCTGAAGCTCGTGCGTGCCAAGGAGCAGGGGAGCCGGGCGGCACTGGGCTTGCTCGCGCTCGGCACCCTCCTCCTGCTCGCCGCCGTCATCGTCCTCTGCGGCTTCAGCACCTTCAACACAGAACTACCGCCGGCAGGATCGCGGCTTCTCAACCGCGCCTGCCTCGGTGACAGCGTGTTCGACGTCCACGACGTTTGGCACATGCTGGCGGCGGCCGCGCTCTTCTGTCTGGCCCTGGGTCAGCTTGTGCTCGACGACGACCTCCTGCTGGTCCCCACCATGGCGATCGAGCGCTTCTAGCTGGGGTCCGCCGGTTGGATGTTCGGAAAATTGGAGCGAACGCTTCACATCACGCGACGAGCTGGTGAATGAGTGCTTTTTACTTTGCCTTCGGCTGAGTGCTGTGAGCAGCAGTGGATGTAACCGTGCTATCGAAACGTCTTTCGCGCGGCGTTGGCGCTAAATGCATTTATCAGGCGTTAGTGATATTGCTTTTGTGTGTTGCAAATGTTGTAGACAGCTTCATATTTGTATGTATAATATCATACTTGTACGTAAGTTAGTTTCTAGCCCAGACATCACCTAACTTACGGTCAGTTCCAGTTAGCTGGCATATTGCGACTTGGAGAAATGAAGTGATATGCCCTCAGTTAATATAATCATGAGCGAAGTAAGATTTTACAAACAGAAGAGAAATCGGGCATTTGTAGGAACGATATATCGAAGACGGTTGTAGCAAGGAAATTGACGAATGCCTATAAGATTTAGTATATATTAGGGCTGAAAGGTGCATGCAGACCAACACTCTTGTTTCTATGAGAACGGGACCACTTGGGTCCATGGACTTGACTATGACTCAAGTTCATGATTTTTAACTCATCGTCGTTGTCATCGTCATCCCGGAGGTACTAAGCATGATAGAAGGTTGCAGAAATCTCGTCAGACTTCAGCGCGCCGGGCGAGCGCGCAGTCAGTTGGCCTTAAACAGCCCGCTTTTGCCGCAGTTTCTTACAGCCGGAAAGGTTTCACTTGTCAAAATGCATGCCAAGTCGAAACCCATAGAACAGTGATGATTCCATCGGTTTTAGCTCAGTTCGTCGCTGGCGGAAGCACGCTGCCGAATCCAACGATGGCCGTTGTCATGCCTCGCTGCGGGATGTCCAGCAGAGCGCCGGGCCTCACACGGCAACTTCCGAGAAGCCTCGCAGACGCGCCGGCGGTTTCATCGGAGAGAGCCGGCGGGCACCAGGCCCCGCGTGACTGTGCTCCCCGAGATCAAGCCGTACTATTCGCGCAAGTCAGTTCCCTGCTGAAGAGGAATTGAAGATAACTGTGGAAGTTCGGCTTTAGCCCCCGCCGGCCGATGTTTTATGTGGTGGCCCGACCAAACTGCCTCCGCGCTGACAGGGAGGCCTGGGCTGTCACTTGGACCGCGTTGCATGAACAAGTATCAGTCAAGAATAAAACGCTTGAGGTACGTCCCTGACATGGTTCCAAGTCGATATCTTGAGCGGTTTAAGAGATGCAAAAGTGAAGGTACTTCCTTCCGACACTGCCTAGTATTTTTATGAGACCATTCGCGTTTATGTAAACTGACAACAACAATACGCAAAGTGAAACATTGCACGGGAAATCAGCTTCATTTTTTGATCACACAAAAATTCCAGCTATGTCGGCACCCACTGTCACTGTGTCCATCGCTACAACGGCATGTTGCATAATGCCTTGGTGGGAACAAGGAGCCGGGGGACTATACACAAACGGCATGTAAGCTACCAGCCAGGGGTGCAGCCAGACGGGCAGATTCCGCTGCCTCCCCCCCCCCCCTTTAGGCTAGCGTTTTTTATTTGATCACCACAGACGACTCTTTTGCTTCTTTCATAAAAGCGTGCCCACCAGGCTCCGCCCCCTTCTCCTTTAATAATCTTGAGAAAATAAATCCTGGCTGCGGCCATGGTAGCAGGTATTGCAAATTCCACATTGAAAAGCTGTTGGGGAGGGAGGTCGTGGGTGCCAGGGCAGGACAAATACAACAAAGACTAGGATAGCTAAATCGCTTTGGTGGGATGCAGGCGATCATGCTTGTTCAGCAGTAACCGGAGTATCCTGCCAATCGGGAGTTATTGGGAACACCACGCCCCTCTACATCCGGAACCAATAGGCTGATTTAGGTGATCACGGAAATGTGGTTGATGGTCCTGGATCGCACCGCCCCAAAAATTTATTTTACGCGACTTCCAGATCACCAATGACATCAGAAAATGTCGGAACATTTTGAAACTTTGCGATTGCTTTCTATTTGTAGCCAGACGGTTCTGTCGGGTGTCAAAACGCTAAGAATGTGTCGGCTCAAAGTCCGTTTGTAGTAAATGCGTAAATCTCCTTGAAGGCACGAGCTTTAGATACGGTCTGGAACTGGCCTTGGGGTAGGGTTTGGTAGGCTTTATCCTGTGGGAAGGTCAAACTGTTCAAAATATCAGTGTGTTAAGCGACACATGTCTGCTAGTTAAAATTTCATCATCATTTTGCATGTAGGCAAGGTATTCAAAATGCTCACCAATGCGACTGCTCAGTTAACAAATAGGGCAACACTTGAGGTTAGCATGCGCTAGGGTGGGGGTCAATTTGACCCCTAAAGGTTTTTTAGAATTGGTTCCAACAGCGCGACGAAGCCACGCCAAATTTTGCATAGCTGTAGACGGTTCAATGGTGGATAGTTTGGTATCAACAACTGAAATGTACCTAGTAAGGTCGCTAACCTACAGCAGGTTAAAGTCAGGCCATGGATTTAGCGAAGTCGATCTCTGGGGAATCGTTTAATCTTGCGCAACAACGGAGTGCTAGACGAAGCCCGCATCTCTGAGATGCTTTCTATAATTTTCCATGGACTTCTTCAAGGTCAGAATAGGTCACTGACGTAAGATTACCCGCGGCAACATTTTGCTTTTAGGAGCATACTTCCTCGCGTATCTTTGTCGTTTATTCAAATGCAAAACTCAAAGCAGTATTTTTATCATTTTGGTCACCATGACCTTTGAAAAGTCCAATAAGGCCACTGACCTTAAATTTGTATGCGACCCTTCGATTGCAACAGGTATCTAGGCTCTGGGGGAAATTTGGAGACCAAACTTGGGGTTGAGATTGTTTGACTTTATTTGACCCGAAGGTCATGCTCTAGGAACCTCAAGCTTTGATCTAAGAACGTTCACGTACAAGCTGACATGCCCTGTGAATCTGATGTTTCTGGCTCTTTTAGCTCCCGATATCTCGCGGGATGGGGTCAAACTGACCCCGACCGAACAAAGGGCATTCAACCGGCTACCCAGGCGTGTGTTAAGAAAGGGGGAGTTGCACAACTGGATAAGAGATATCAAAGTTCATACCAATGGGGCAGGATTTAGGCCATGTATTAACACCCCATAACAGCGGCCTGCTCTAACCTGACCAATGATCGACTGAAATGTCAGGTCACGCTCTCTAAACAACATGAGGCAAGTAACATATTGGATGGACATTTACGGGTAGACCGAACCACTTTGCCCGCAACGCATCGCGCAGGTGGCAGTTGTCAGATCGAACTGAACATCTTTCTGAAAATGCTGCATGACTACGTGACACAAACTCTGAGCACATAGTGGACTAATGTGAGGTCAGTGCAACCTGGCTTCGCCTCTAATGACCTCATGGAGCATATAAGCCTGCTGTCCTGAGCGATTTATTACATATCAAACAATGTCAAGAAGTTAGTTGTTGAGTTTTAAGGGCGCACCAACTGCGTTAGTTATTTGCGCCTAATGGGTATTCCAAGCTGTGCACGTATTCGCTACAAGGTTATGCAAAAATAAAAATAAAGCATTGAAAAAACAAGGTTTTTCCAGTAGTTCGCGGGTTAGCATTGTATGGTTAGCAGCATGCTTGACGTTGTCCCAGACGCCAACAACATAAATGAAAGCAATGTCTAGCTGAGGCAATCAAAATATAACAAGTCCAATCTAGCCAGAAACACGCAAAGAGGTGAAGTTCGGTAAACACGTACCTTTGTATTTCGGCGGCCTCATCTTGTCGTACAAATATTTGTTTCCAGGGAAAATGTCAGAGAACTCCAGCGGACCGAGGGTGCCCATTCCTTTAGGCCGACTGCAAAATGAGGAAGCTGAATCACGCACGTGGTACACACAGCGCCGAATGACCGGGTTTCGTTTCCAAAGGACAGGACAAGGCAAAGCAGTGTGCAGAAATCTCCGGTGGACATCTTTGGCATTGTGTCCGTTTGGGATCTGTAGAAGACGAGACGGCATGCCCACACGTGCGAATCCTATTGGCTGAAAGCACATCCTAGCAGCCCCTGAAAATTGGCTCGGTCACACCTTGGCTCAAGCGAGTGATTCATGTTAGGCGGCACCTGAAATGTGTATTATTTACATGCATGTTTAGAGCCTGTGATGGTCATTCCAGGGTCGAGGATGTGGGGTACCACCAACACCCAGGAAAAGGACCTCCCTTTCCTGAGTCCAAGCAAAAGATACTTAAGCATAGGATGGATCCTCCTACAGTGCCCGACTTTGAAGAGATCATTGCGCGCTGCTTAGCAAATAAGTGACCGAAACAGGCCAAAAATAAGTGGAAACATAGTTAGGGAACGTTCTGAAGCCAACGCATGAATTTCTATGATGCTACGCCAACGATGCATGGGAGGCAAGTCTGGGCCAACTATGTGACTGTTTTAAAATATCCTCCCAATCCTGTATGAAACAAAAGCCGGATTGCACCAACGAGTATATAAAAGCGGGCACACACACACAGAAAGACAAACTGTACGAACCGGTGTCTGTTCATGCAGAGCAATGTAGCTGTCAATAATCCCTCCAGTCCAAGTTCATTTAAAATCGTTCAGGTCAACAGACTCCGTCCGTGCACTCGGCACGTGGCAACGAGCATAATTGAGAGTATGAGAAAGGGGAAAGAGAAGAAGAGGGAGGGAGAGAGAGAGGAGAGAGAGAGAGAGAAAGAGAGAGAGAGAGAAGGAGAGGGAGGGAGACAGAGGAAGAGAGAGAGAGAGATAGAGAAAGATAAAGAGAGGGAGGGAGGGAGGGAAAATCACGGACGTATAAGCTGGTGGAAGGTATGTCATTTGGCACTTCATGACTGGATCAATATACGTTAGGCGTAAATAGAAGCGATAACCGCAGCATTGCGGGCATGATATTTCACATTTTATTTTCGTTTGCATATGGAGCACTATACTTGTATCATATGGGTGAGAGTCGATATGACCCGTGGCATTTGTAATCTATTGGCCCACTTGTCATTCGATCTCAAAATGGTGGCCGCAGTGTGTAACGTCCTTCGATGTCTACATATGTTTTTTAATTGAGGCAATGACACACTGAGAAGGGGAGAAGTGGGGTACGGAAGCAATCTGTGTGATGCCGCGCGTTAAGTGAGAGTGAGTGACGAGTTAAAGAGAAGCTTGACGTACCCTTACCGACTATTACGACTTCAGCTAGGCCGTAATGACGTCGGTTGCAGACGCGAAATATGCATGCTTCAATTCTACTAAGAGCCTACCATTTTTCCACTTGGTTCGTGAGTCCACCAACATGCTAGGAACAAATCGGACAGCTCTCCTGACAGTGGCAATTGCGAGAATGCCAAATTTCGGGGTGCATGTATTACTGTCCATGGTTGTCGCATAGGCATCGCCAAGGCCTTTGTAGTTAGTCTTCCAGCTCTAGCTCATTAAGCCCCTGGCTGATTAGCTGTAGATAGCTAACTTTGTTAAAGGAAATGTTTTGCAGTTTAGATATTGAAGCAAGTATCAGATATAATGGGACAATCTCACTTATAAATGTTGGCATACTTTTCAAGTGGAAAAGGCTGCTCTGGACAGCACAATGCTCTGTTTAGCAACGATGCTGCGCAATGCGTCCTGGTTTTATTACGTCATCGTGCCTTGCACAGCATTGATTGAGAATCAGTTAACGGGCGTTATATGTGGAAATTGTACTCACGAACGCCAAATATGAACTCCTCGAAACTATATTTTTATTGACCTTGATCGTCCCATGGCGTATGGAGTGGCAAGATTTAAATGGCGTTATTACCACGTCATGAATGCTAAAGATACTTTGAAATACTCGCTACATTTTGCCGGGTATGTAGCTAAGAAACTAGAGGGGCTTAGGTCTTACGAAGGGCAAAATTATGAACATCACCGAAAGGTCTTCAAGATGGCTAATTCCAGTTCAAACCCTATATAAATGTGGAA